GTTTGGGGGGAGTTATATAAAGCCCTACACCAGAGAGAAATTCATCACTAAAGCCCAATCGCTGCAATAGCAAAAACAAAATAGGGCCAGAGGACACTATCAAAGGCCTTATTAATGTCTAGGCTCAACAACATCACCTGCTTAGAGTGCAAGTTAGCATCTTAGATAACATTCAAAGTGAGACATATATTATCTATAATAAGCCTGTCAGGAATAAATCCCGATTGGTCAGGTGAAACTAAAGAGGATATAATAGGGGCCAATCTATCTGCTAAGATACGGCTAAATATCTTTAAATCATTATTCATAACCGAAATGGGCCTATAGTTTTTGTGGTAAAAGGTGATCCTTTAAAGGTTTAGGCAACAATGACATGTTGGCCAAAAGCATCTCATCAGGAAACCTGTAAAACCTTGTTGAACATAGAGACCAAAGATGGGGCTAAAAGAAGGGCAAAATGTTTGTAATAACTGGCCGAGAACCCATTGGGGTCCGGGGCCGTGGAACTTTTCAATGTGCTAATTACTCGTGTAATTTTCTCCAGAGTACACGGGGCATTAAGAGATGAAATCTGAGAGGGCATAAGAGCAGGAAGAGGTAATGAATCCAGCCAAGAGACAGCAGGGGGAGAGGGATCCGCATGTGGAGGAGCTAATAGGGAAGAGTAAAACGCTTTAAAAATTTCCAAAACTTCGTGGGGCAGAGAGGAAATATTACCGTGCTTGTTACGTAATTTATATATATATGTGGGAGATGAATTGAATGGTTAAGTGTCCGGGCGAACATGGTCAACGCTGAATTGCTGTGTAATAAAAAAGATGCCCAAGACCAACAAAAAAGCTTTTTCAGTTTTTTTGAGAAAGTAGGGTATTCAGTTCTAAGCGCTTTTGCGATATCATGCCCCTATTCAAAAGGTCGGGTTACCTATTTGAGTTCTATAATACATTTCCAGTTCCCTGGTGAGAGTCTGAATTTGTTTCCAATGATCCCTATTTCTGGCTGCCGCCATAGAAATAAGGCGGCCAGTGAGAACCACCTCGTGAGCCTCCCACAGCATAGCCGGGGAGGTATCAGGGGTATTGTTCAGTTGAAAATACTCTTGGATTGAAGTAGCTACTTCTTGACGGGAGATGGTATCTGTAAGCATAGAGTCATTCAAACAGAGTAGGGAGTAGACACTAGGCCTATAAAGGTGACAGACAACACCTCAATATTATGATCCGACTAAGAACACAAGTGTATCCCAACATTCGTGGAGTTGGCCAGAAGGATTGGAGAGCAATATACAGTATGTAATCCAACCTAGCATAGGAGTCATGCGGATGGGAATAAAATGTATAATTCCTAGCTCCCACATTGTGAGCCCTCCAAGAGTCAACCAGCTGGAACGACTCTAAACATTTTGTAAGAGATTTAGGGAAGGCTAGGGAAGAGGGTGAAGGAACTTATCAAGAACATCAAAAAAATTTGAAAACAAGGTTGCCTGAGCTGAATTTGTTGCATAAACATTGGCTATTGTAAGTTCGCGAGCTGAAAGGGTACCCTTGATAATAATAAACCTGCTCTCTGGGTCACGATAGACCTGTTGCACCTCCAAGAGAAAATGAGCTTTTGGTGGAATGTAAAGTATAAATATGCTTGCTTATATGATTTGTGGAAAAATGTAGGATGTTTATCTGCTGCAAAATGGGTCTCTTGTAACAAAAGGATCTTCGCCCCTAGCTGCCTATACTAGAGAAAGGCTGTTTTGCGCTTATTTGGAGAATTAAAGCCTTGCACATTATGTGAAAGGCAATGAATCACCATTTGTAAACACAAAGCAAAGAGCACATTATAACATTATCGTACCAAAAAATTCTGTATCAAGAGAGGTTGGTCTAAGTGGGTGAATACCCAGCTCTACAACCAGAAGGGTGTAGTTTGACCTTATCATTTTATTCAATATCCAAGCCACATATATGGAGCAAGGAGATCCATAAAATTGTGTATGACAACAATCATGTACCAAAAGAAAAAAAAACAAGAACATAAAACGATAGAAGCAGGGCCAGAGCAACCCCTATAACTATAGATATCAAAACAAACCATGGATCAGGTAGGCAAACTTCCTCACCTGAAGAGACAGAAAACCATAATTTTAAAAGGCCAACAGGGCCCAAACCCTGTCACCACAAAACACGGAAAGTAGAGCAACCACTCCACAACAGGGCAGCGGTGCCTCTGACCATGCCTGGCAACAAGGTGGGGTAGCACATCAACAGCACCCACAGACTCAACCTTCAAGCCAAAAATAAGGGCCTAAAATCCCATATAAAAACAAGTTGTACATCAAGGTATATAGGGACATAACCAGAGGCAGACTGACAACTCATGGGGCCTCCGGGCAATAGGGGATCATGGGGCCCTTGTGTCTCTCCCACACTCAAACCACACCCAAAAAAGCCTATGAAAGGTACCAGGGACATCTCATGGGGCCCCTACTGACCCCGGGCAGTGCCCAAGTTCTCCAATGGTCAATCTGCCCCTGGACTTAACCCAAAATTAACAGACACAACTAGTGATAATGCATCAATAGCATGTCCCAATAGGTGATTAAAGATGGTGGAGAATAGACAAAAGCGAGGATTGCCATCATCCCGCCTCCTGTCTAACTCTCCTCCTACCTGGCGATGGAGTGTTCCAAATAGGAGATATTCAGGGAGTTGAGGGTAGATGTTGAGGTGTAGGAGCATCTGCTAGACCCAATTTCACCAGGATTTCTTGACCTTCAAGAGGAGTAGTAGCGGTATATGTGCTTCCATTGTGTGGTATAATCAACTTAAATGGAAAGCCCCATTTGTAGCAAATTTGAGCCGAGGATAAGACAGATTTGATCACCCTCATTTTACATTGTTTCTCCAACGTGGTCTGAAAGATATCTGGAAAAATTTGCAGGGTCGAACCCTGCAAGGATATCACAGGGGTATTGCGAGCAGCTCTAAGGATGTCCTCTTTAATCAGAAAATCTTTCATGCACAAAATAATGTCCCGAGGAATAATGTCCAGCACAGGAAATGAGATAACAAGGGGAGGGAAAGAGGACTTTTGAACGAGCCATGTGCTGAGACAAAGACAGAGTTGTTTTGGAGAGACAAAAAAGGACACACTTATTCTGAAGACTGAGCTGGAAGCAGCTGGAATTTGGAGGAACCATGAGAAGATCCCCTCACCAGGAGAGCCCATGTTAAGTAGCTGTTTAGTATATTTATTGCACACATATTGTACATGCTTTTTTGCCAGGAAGCTTGTGCATTTTGTAGGCATATTTTATTATACTTTCCATGCGATGATTTGTGTATCCTTACATAGTTAATCTGACTGAAAAAAGACAAAAGTCCATCCAGTTCAACCAAAAAAAAAAAAGTTATAATCCTATACCCATGATTGATCCAAAGGAAGGCAAAAAAAACAGCAAAGTGTGATTCAATTTGCTCCTGCAGGGGAAAAAAATTCCTTCCTGATCCCCAGAGAGGCAATCGTATATTCCCTGGATCAATATTACCTACAAATGTTAGTATCCAGTTATATTCTGTGTATCCAAGAAAGAATCCATGCCTTTTTTAAAGCAATCTACGTAGCTGACCAGAACCAACTCTTGAGGGAGTCTACTCCACATTTTCACAGCTCTCAATGTGAAGAAACCTTTCCGTGTTTGGAGTTTAAATGTCTTTTCCTCTAGATGTAAAGAGTGCCCCCTTGTCCTCTGTGATGACCTCAAGGTGAATAACTCTACACTGAGCTCACTATATGAACCACTGATGTATTTATATATTTATACATGTTGATCATATCCCCCCTTATGTATTATACATGGAGATCATATCCCCCCTTATGTATTATACATGGAGATCATATCCCCCCTTATGTATTATACATGTTGATCACATCCTCCCCTTATGTATATACATGGAGATCATATCCCCCCTTATGTATTATACATGTTGATCACATCCTCCCCTTATGTATTATGCATGTTGATCATATCCCCCCTTATGTTTATACATGTTGATCATATCCCCTCTTAATCTCCTCTTCTCAAGAAAGAATAAATTCAGTTCCTCTGATCTTTCCTCATAGCTGAGCTCCTCCATGCCTCTCATCAGTTTGGTTGCCCTTCTCTGTACTTTCTCCAGTTCCCCAATGTTCTATTTGTGAATTGGTGCCCAAAACTGAACTGCATATTCCAGATGAGGTCTTACTAATGATTTGTATCGGGGGAAATGATATCTCTCTCTCTGGAGTCTATACCTCTTTTAATACAGGAGAGGATTTTTGCTCACTTTAGAAACCACAGCTTGACATTGCATGCCATTATTAAGCTTGTGATCTACCAAAACTCCCAGATCCTTCACCATTGACCCCTAGATCCTTCTCCACCATTGACCCCCCCCCAGTTGTACCCCCCTAGTATGTATGATGCATGCATATTCTTAGCCCCCAAGTGCAGAACCTTACATTTATCAACATTAAACCTCATTTGCCACATAGTTGCCCAATTACACAGAGCATTGAGGTCGGCTTGTAAGTTGGAGACATCCTGTAAGGACGTTATTCCACTGCACAGCTTGGTGTCATCTGCAAAGACTGAAATGGGGTTTTTAATCCCAGACCCTATATTGTTTATAAATATATTAAAAAGTAAGGGTCCCAACACTGAATCTTGGGGTACCCAGCTAATAACCCTGAACCTCAGGGTACACCACTGGCAACCCTAGACCATTCAGAGTATGAATCATTAACCACTACTCTCTGAATACCATCTTTCAGCCAGTTTTTCTATCCATTTACATACAGATTTTTCCAAGCCTGTAGACTTTACCTTACATATTAGCCGTGTGTGGGGATCTGTGTCAATCGGTTTTGCATAATCCAAGTATACCGTGTCCACCGCCACCCCTCTGTCCAAGTATACTATGTCCATAGCCACCCCTCTGTCCACGTATACCACTTCCACAGTCACCCCTCTGTCCAAGTATACCACTTCCACAGTCACCACTCTGTCCAAGTATACCACGTCCACAGTCACCCCTCTGTCCAAGTATACCACGTCCACAGTCACCCCTCTGTCCAAGTATACCACTTCCACAGTCACCCCTCTGTCCAAGTATACCACTTCCACAGTCACCCCTCTGTCCAAGTATACCACGTCCACAGTCACCCCTCTGTCCAAGTATACCACGTCCACAGTCACCCCTCTGTCCAAGTATACCACGTCCACAGTCACCCCTCTGTCCAAGTATACCACGTCCACAGTCACCCCTCTGTCCAAGTATACCACTTCCACAGTCACCACTCTGTCCAAGTATACCAATTCCACAGCCACCCCTCTGTCCAAGGTTTTGCTCACCTCCTCATAAAAAGAAATCAGATTTGTTTGACAACTTCTGTCTTCATTAATCCATGCTTTCTGTTACTTAAAGTGTTACTAAACCCCAGACCCTGAATTCACTATATCCGGTCTCCCCGGACCCTGCATTCACTATATCCGGTCTCCCCGACCCTGCATTCACTATATCCGCTCTCCCCAGACCCTGCATTCACTATATCTGGTCTCCCACATTACACAGAACATGGAAATGCAATTATTTTTAGTAAATATAAACTGCTAAATACCTTTTCTCATCAGCAGTTAGAGCAGTCTTGTGACTTCAGCTGAGCACTGATTAAAGCTTGTAGGAGGAGTTTTCTTTCAGAAAACTCTCTAGGAGGATTCAAAACCCTTGACCTTTATCTAGACAGTGCTGATTGGCCCTGTGCTGATCACATGCACTCTCCCAAGAATTAAAAAAAAAACCTCTTTAGCAATACACACTAAACTGAGCATGTGCAGAAGGGCTACGGGTTCAGTCTGTCTTATTAGCGTAGACATTTGAACAAGAAGAGGGCAGAGAAGAAAGGATCAAACAGCCTTTTTACACAATGCAGAGGATTAACCCCTTAGGTTCCACAGTGAGTATAACAAGCATGCTTTACTGCATATAAAGACTGATTTTACTGTTGTGGGTTTAGTAACAGTTTAAAATATTTTTTTTCCAGCAAGAACTCATCCATGTGGTCTTTTATTAACCATTAGCCGCCCGGCCAATGGCCGTTTGGCGGCTTCAAAACAGTCTCTGCATTCCGGGTGCACGCCATTTGGTGTGCTCCCGCACATGCGCCGTTTGCGCTAATGCAGAGCCGCGCAGCGGTGCGATCTGTCACCGGACGTGTACCTCGGACACGGCCGATGACAGATCCGAGTACCGGCTCCCGTTGCTGGTACCATGTGACCTGCTGTGACCAATCACAGCAGGTCACATGACAGTTGTATACAATGGATGGCTTCATTCATGAAGCCATCCATTGTATACTAGTGCCTAGCTGTGAATGGTCACAGCTAATCACATGCACATGTCATGTGATTAGCTGTGACCAAATCACAGCTAAGCACAAAAAAAAAAAAAAAAAAAAAAAAAAAAAAAAAAAAAAAGCTGAATGAATCTATTTCATTCAGCTAAATGCTTGCTTATAGCAAAGTAATTCTTTGCTATAAGCAAATTGTGTAAAAAAAAAAAAAAAATACTGATCACTTCCCCAAAGTAGTACAATGTTACTATGGTAACATTGTACTACTTTGGTCATAGTAAAATATGGAAAAAAATCTTAAAAAAAATAAAAAAAATGTAATAAAAAATTAAATATAATAAAAAAAAAAAAGTAAAAAAAAAATATATATATATTTTTTTCATACTCTCACCAGTCAGTGTCCCTGTTCACCGCCATGCCAGTTATATGATGACGCTGTGCTGCACTGGTGACAGTATGTAAAAAAAAAAATAGTGAAAATAATTATTTTAATTTTTTCATTTTCCAAAAAATTATGACAAAAAAATACAACTTCAAAAAACTCGCCATGCCTCTTATGAAGTACGTCGGACTGTCTACTCTGCAAAAAGGGGTCATTTGGGGATATCTGTACTTTTCTGACATTCTTGGACCTCAAGAAATTAGATTGGCTGTCAGTACTTCAGGATTGATCAATATTCAGATCTATACCATAGTTTGTGAACTCTATAGCTTTCCTACAAACTAAAAAATACATCCTAATTTGGGTTATTTTCACCAAAGACATGTAGCAGAATACATCTCGGCCTAAATTTATGAAGAACAATTATTTATTTGTAAACTTTTATAACAGAAACAAAGAAAAACGTGTTTTTTTTAAAAATTTTTGGTCTTTTTTTGTTAATTTAGCAAAAAATAAAAACCCCAGCGGTGATTAAATACCACCAAAAGAAAGCTCTAGTTGTGTGAAGAAAATGATAACATTTTAGTTTGGGTACAGTGTTGCATGACCGCGCAATTGTCATTCAAAGTGTGAGAGCGCTGAAACCTGAAAAATGGCCTGGGCAGGAAGGTGTAAAAGTGCCCGGTATTGAAACGGTTAAACTCTCCAGTATCTTCCCAACTATAGAAGTTAAACTAACAGGTCTATAATTACGTAGTGAAGATTTTGATCCCTTTTTAGATATTGGCACCACATTGACCTTACGCCAATCCAGTAGTACTATGCCAGTCATTAACCACTTGCCTACCGGGCACTTTTAACCCCTTTGTGCCAATGCTAATTTTCAGCTTTCAACACTGTCGCACCTTGCATGACAATTGCGCGGTCATGCAACACTGTACCTATATGAAATTTGTAGAATATTTTCACACAAATAGAGCTTTCTTTTGGTGGTATGTAATCTCCACTGGGTGTTTTATTTTTTGCACTATAAGCAAAAAAAAGAGCAAAACGTTAAAAAAAAAGTTTTTCTTTGTTTCCCTTATAACATTTTGCAAACAGGTTATGTTTCTTCTTCACTGATGTTTGTTGATGAGGCTGCACTGATGGGCACAGATAGGCATCACTGATGGGCACTGATAGACTGCACTCATGAGGAGGCACTAATGATGCTGCACTGATATGCAGCAATGATGGTCACTGATAGGCGACACTGATGGGCACTGATAGGTGACACGAATGGACAGCGCTGACTAATGGCACTGACCGACAGCACTGACTGACGGCACTACTGGGCACTGATGGGTGGAACTGGTGGGCACTGCTTGGTGCAACTGCTGGGTACTGGTGGGTTGCACTTCTGGGCGGGACTGCAGGGCACTGATCATCAGTGTCTTGATTAGTGTCGATCTGCTATGTGACAGCTGCCGGTTTTTGGCAGTACCTTCCTCACGCTGTGACAATGTGAGGAAAGTGCAGCCAATAACCGGTAACTGCATTTACTCCGTGATCTGCTGAGTCATTAGACACTGCTGATCATGTGGTAAAAGGCTGTTGTGATTGGCCTTTTACCTCATCACGTGATCAGCTGTGTCCGTAGGAACTGTGTCTGGGTGCGCGCCACTGGGGGCACGCGGGAAGGCGGGTTCTGGGAGGTCATCAATCGACGCCCTCCCAGAACTGGACAACCATGCTGTAGCCGTTATTTGGCTATGGCGCAGTTGGCAAGTGGTTGAAGAGTCCATAAATATTAGAAACAATGAAAAGCCCTGTGGGTGTATGCCATCCGGTCCATGTGCTTTATTCCCCTTTATTCTGTCCAAATATTTCTGGATCATATCAATTGTTAGCCAATGTGGATCATCTGGAGCTGTGTCAATACCACGCCCATTATGGACAAGAGCTCCCCCATGCTCCTTTGTATACACAGAGCTGAAGAAGGTATTTAATAAATTTGCCTTCTCTTTGTCCCCAGTCACCCACTCTAGATAATTCTGTAAAGGGCCTACATGCTCGGACCGGACCTTTTTACTATTAATATATTTGAAGCATTTTTTGGGGTTTATCCTGCTATCTTTTGCAATCTGTCGTTCGTTTTCAGTTTTTGCGGCCTTGATTTCCTTTTTACATATTTTGTTATATTTTATGTAATGTTTAAATGATGATAGCATTCCTTCATTTTTATATTTAATAAAAGCTATTTTCTTATGTATTCTTATATGTTTAATTTTTAGCCTTTTAAACTTGTTGCCCATGAGAATATATTTTGCAATGTGTTCACATACAATCTTTTTGAAGAACTCCCATTTCTGTGTTGTGTTCATTGATGCCAACATTCCCAGTCTAAGTCTTAGACAGCAGCTCTCAGCCTTGGAAAATTAGCTCTCTTAAAGCTGAGCGTTTTAATTTTTCCCATGTGTTCTTGTTGTTTACAGCTAACAATAAGTGAAATCATGTTATGGTTACAGCAACCAAGATGTTCTTTTATATGGACATTCGTAATAAGCTCTGCATGGTTTGAGATTACCAGGTCCAGCAGAGCATCATTCCTAGTTGGGGACTCTATGAACTGTACTATAAAATTGTCCTGTAGTAGGTTTATAAATTTTTGCCCTTTAACTGTTCCTGCAGTACCATTACTCCAGTCAATTTCCGGGTAGTTAAAATCCCCCATTATTATCCCTGTCCCAGCCCTTGCAATCTGTGCAAGGAGCTGAATCTTTACCTCCTCATTAACACTAGGAGGCCTATAACAAACGCCAGTGATTGCCTTTATAGTATGCACCCCATGCGCAGTTCCACCTATAATGCTTCAGCCTCATCACACTCTCCATCAACTAAGTCATCTTTCATACTTGCACTGAGACCACTTCTAACACAGAGCCAGCTACCACTACCTTTCCTTTTTACCCTGTCTCTCCAAAAGAGAACATAGCCAGGAATATTAATGGCCCAGGCATGTGAAGAATGAAGCCAAGATTCAGCAATCCCAATTAAATAATAGTTCTCGTCATGCACCAAAGCTTGCAACTCACCTATTTTGCTTGGCAGACTTCTGGCATTGGTGAACAAACACTTTAATCCAATGACACCTTGTGCACACGTATTTTGCATATTTTTTATTTTCGTACAAATGGTACCAATTCCAATGGTTGTTTGTAACATGGGCACCTTCTTATCACCTGCCATATCTCTCCCCCATCTTTCCCCATTCCACCCCCCAATAAGGACTGACCCATCCGATCTGTCTGCCCCAATATAATCTAATTCTCCCTCCCCCATTGATTCTAGTTTAAATACTCCTCTAACCATCCCTTAAACCTCTCCCCCAGCACAGCAGACCTCCTTCCATTTAGGTGCAAACCATCTCTAGCATATAGGTTGCACCCCAATGAAAAGTCAGCCCAGTGATCTATAAACCCAAATCCTTCCCTCTTACACCAGGTCTTTAGCCATGCATTTAGTTCTCTAATCTCCCCGTCTTTCCTGAGTTGCGCATGGCACAGGTAATATTTCAGAGAATATCACCTTGGAAGTCCTTCCATTCAACTTGCAGCTTAGTTCTTTAAATTGATTCTTAAGGAACCTCCACCTCCCATGTATTCTGTCATTGGTTCCAACATTATTATTATTATACAGTATTTATATAGCGCCAAAAGGTTTGCTCAGCACTGTACATTATAGTGGGGGACAGAACATGAGACAATACAGTAACAAAACAAAACACGAGGGGGTCAAGGGCCCTGCTCTTTTGAGCTTACAATCTAGGAGATTGTCTAGGTCCAACATGGACCAAGA